GCAGATTAATCACTTTACTAAGGAAATGGTGGCTTTTTTCACTTGCAGAAGCAAATGAAATCATGAAGCCTCAATAATGGGTTATGCCTATGCTGGTCTTTGACCGTAATAAAGATTTGATTTTTGATTTTGTTTTGGGTTATGTCAACTTAGGGATACATCATGTGGCCTGTGAGCACAGTTGAGGTTAATGAAGCACTCTAGAACTGCTGTAAGGCAAAAATGTATAGGGAGATGCCATGAAATATTAACCTGTATGTTTGTGTTTTATAAATTGTGCAACCATAACAAAACAAACAAACAAACAACAAACACCTGGCCATATACCATCTAATACTTCTGGATCTAACAACTGTAAGAAAAGAAAATATGCAAAACTATTGTGACTCTCAGATCAGTTTCTCTGGGATATAATTTATATATGATCTATGTCTATGTCCACTGGTCTCTTTCTGATTTTTGCTTTTACTCTTAGAGAGCCCTAGCTTCAAAATAAACTCACTAAGAAAGTAGTTCGATGGTTCTGATGTAGCAAGAAAACAAGAAATGTGCTTTGGCCTTATTTAATTTAGTACCCAGTTCTCCTTATATGCTGGTTGGTGAGACAGTGACACTAATAGGATTCCCAAACTTTCATGGCTTTCATGGTCCCCACCGGACACTGAACATAGAAATTGGAGGATAAAAGCTATTTGTAGAAAACTATACAATGCCGATGTTTGTCCATTTGTATTTTGTGCACACAAAAATGCATAGACTGCTGAAAATAATGTACCCAACTCAATTTGTTTATTAGATGTATATCCCACCTTTTATACAGGAGCTTAAGGCAACATACATAGCACTCTCTCAACCTATTTTGTCTCCACAACAGCAACCCTGTGAGGTAGGTTGGACTGGGACAGAGTGACTGGTCCAGAGTCACCCAGTCAGCTTCCATGACTGAGGATGTGGGTCTCCTAGTGTATATTAAAACTAATATATGAAAAGAAATGCATTAAAAGATACATACATATTTCCTGCAACTGCTTAATACCCTCCACCACACTTTCTTTAAGTTGTTGTAGAACTGGGATGAAACTGTTATTTATGATTGTACTGTAAAGTGCCATGGGCTGCCTTGCCAGGAGCCGGTAGGTTTAAAGTTGAGGATAGGTAAACAAATGAAACAATTTAAAGTTTGTTTGTTTGTTTATTTATTTATTTATTTATTTATTTATTTATTTATTTTGATTGTATGCTGCCTATTCCTCCAGGCTCTGGGTGGGTAACAATACTCTAAGAAGCCCCTTATACACATGAATATAAAAATTTTAAAAAGCACCAAATGGAAATAACAAGTGTTGGCAACTGCACCTTCTAGTCAAACCTTTCTGCTCTGCAAGATGGAACAAGTAGGTCCTCAAAGCTTTCCTGAATACTATTGAATGATGAGATTGATTATTTTCCCACTGGAAGGAAGTTCCAAAGAATGGAGTCTACCACTAAGAATGTCTGTCTTTAAGACCCTGCCAGGTGACAATCCCATAGGGCAGGATCTGGAGGGAGTTGACCCTGTTTAATCTGGTGAGATGGATAGATGAGTACAGGGGAAGGCGGTCCCTTAGATAACAAGGTCTGGACCTTGTTAAGGCCCATATAGGGCCTTAAATATGACATCAACACCTTGAATCATGCTTGGAAGCCAACTGGTAACCATGCAGCTCCCAAAGTAGTGGGACAACCCAATTATATGGAGATACACCCATCATTGCCTCAGTCACTGGTGTGAATGAATCTGGCTGGGCCTTGGGAAGGGGGAAGAGAACAGACTGATGTTAGCCCTTTGAGGTAGGCAAGGTCAGAAAACAGAAACAGCAGGGATTTCAGGAATGTTTTGTACTGTTGTAGGGTAGAATAACAGACTCTTTAAAACCAGTCAGAGTTTCTCCTAACCTGTCAGGCCCAGCCCAAGAACAATGGTGAAACAGTTCACTTGAGTTAAGTTCCTTTATTTGCTTACACCTATAGACTAAATCTATACTATTGCAACAAGTGGATATACCTGGGAAATTCTAGAGAGTGACTATCCTGAACTTCTTTTGCTTCCCACGCTCCTCCTGAGGACTCTGTTGTCTTCTGTCTCCTTTCTCTTCATGGAATGCACCTCCTCCTTCCTGCCTAGTCTTGATCTCTGTTTTTATCCCCCACATTACCCTCCTCTTCATAGATACATTCCATCACATAACCACAACTTATGCCAAACAAGGAGGAGTTATTTTGAGTTTCCTTCTCATGCATTCCCCTTTCTCAGGATTGAGTAATCTTTTCTCCCCCCTTAATGCTTCTTTTCTGCCTTCCTAAGACCAGGTCTACGTTCTTTCACAACCTCATTCTGCACCAACAGTAGCTTCTGGATGTTCTTCAAGGGCAATCCATGTAGAATGTGTTATAGTAATTTAAATAGTTGGTGGCTAGGACATGAGTGACCATGAGCAGGCCATCCTGATCCAGGAAAGTTTGCAATTGGTGCACAAGATGCAGTTGTGAAAAAGCCGCCTAGCCATAGTTGCCATCTGCTCTTCAAGCAGGAGCTGTGTCTTGGAAACTCCAAAATTATGAACCACCTTTGAGTAGGGAAGTGAAACCCCATTCAGAGTGAAAGATGGAATTTCCCTGAAATCATTCCACCCACAAATCCAAAGCCATTCTGCCTTGGAGGAATTCACTTAAAATCTGTTCTTCCTCATCCAGATCCTTATAGTCTCTAGGCACTGGGCCAGTGCTTCTAGCACATCACCTGTTTGGCCCAGAGACAAGATGCATGATTGGGTAACATCAGCCTGCTGATTATACCAAACCTCACGCCAGGAATGACCTTCTTGAGCAGCTTCATATCAGTGTTAAACAGGAGTACATGGAGAAGAGTTCCTTGAGGCACTCCACAAATTAGAGGTCTCCAAATAGAGGTCTACTCTCCCATCACTACTGACTGGAACCAACCCTTCAGGAATAAGAACTGCAAAAAAGTTCTCCTGACTTCAGTCTTTTAGAGGTGATACTGTGATCAATGATATCAAAAACCACTGAGACATCAAGGAAGACCATGAAGGTTGCACTCCCCCAATTCTGGTCACTCCAAAAGTTACACAAAGGTCAACTTCCATACTGTATCCCAGCTTGAATCTTGCCTCCCAAAAGCTCAAATAATCTGCTTCTTCTAGAGTCCTTGTAGAGCTACCACTTTCTCTGCAAGATGATTATTTCTAAGATAATTATCCAAGACAATTGGATCAAGCAAAGGTTTTTTGAGCAGGAACACAGCCTACTTCAGAGGAAATACTTTAGACTCAAAGCAGGGTTGATTTATTACTTGGATCCAACTTCTTTCCACCCTGTGAGAGGACTTAACCAAGCATGAAGAGCAGGGATTCAACTCAGAAGTGGCAGATTTAACACTGCAAAGAGCTTTATCCACTTCTTCAGGACTCACAAATAATACTAGATTGTTTCACAATATAAGGCCACAGTTACTTTATTGGCACTGTCCAGCTGAACTTCACCTCATCTCAGATCTGAATGGTTTTGTCCTTTAAATGCTACAAAAATTCTTCACAGCAGCTGTTCAGATGGTCTTGGTGAACATTCTTCCTTAAAAGGGAATGAGTCACCTTAAAAAGGGCCACTGGGCAGCATTTGACAGATGCAGTACAAATGTCAAAATAATTTCTTTTTTTTGGAACTCTAATCACAATGCAAGCTTGAGCTTAGGCTCATACCAGTACCTGGTCAGGCTCAAAACAGCTCTTCCTCCAGCAATGCTCCAGGCATCTCCTTTGTTATGGTAGTGAGCAACTAAGTGAAACCCAGGGTGAAAGATGTTACATCCCAAGAATGTCTATGCTAACAGCTCATTGTTTCAGATGCTAGGTAATGAAGACAACCAAAGTATTATTATTTAGAAATTTGCCTGCTTCTTAAATATGAACTTAAGTGTGGTGAAAATAACAACAACACTAATTATAATATGAAGTAGATGTACTTGTGGCTGGTCTTGTCTTATGCTATGAGAACTGTTGCTCAATCCTAGTTATTGAATTGTTAAATTAATGTAGAAAGAAGACCTATACACCTTCTTGTAGCTGTGTTTTGTCACTGCTGACTTATTTGTTTAGGGAAGTAAATATCTAACCTGTTGTCATTTATATTGATAATATTGGTGTTTCAGAGACGTCAGACAAATATTTCTTTTCCATGGGTTTGTTCTTTTCTCTTGTTAAAAAAGCTTTAAAAAACTTTTGTATTATGTGCAATTTCATATCCAAATTTCTAAAACCATTGATCTCATCTAACTTTGCCATCACACCACAAACTTCAAAACTATATGATGTGATGATGATGTCACTGTCATCATCATCATGTTCATAATGCCAGCACTTGCAGTATAATCCAAATAATTGCTCCTCCTTGAAGAGAGAGATTTTTTATATCCATCCACTTTCCAAGGATGGAAACTGAAAACAGTATTTAATAGTGTACAGAGATGTAGCATGAACGTATCATTTTGTGGAGTCCACAACTGAAGAACTATTGAATACAGTAATCCTTCTTTACTTTTTAAAAACAAAATTACATACCAAAGTACCATTAAATCAAACAGGAATTGTACCTGAAAAGGAAAGTAAAATTAAGTTTGGTTTAAAGTTTAAGTTACAGCAATCCATCCATTATCAAATCTTGTTCTACAGTGAGGGGCAAGCTTTACTATTGTTTGCTGGAAGGCTAACAGAGCATTGTGGCTGGTACTTTGGGAGGTATGACAGACTTTTAGCAGAGGAGACTTTGGAAAGTTTCTAAAAATAAGGTGTAAGAAGACTGGTGAGTAAAGGTTCATAAGAGTAATTTATTTTGCTAATGCCTGGAATGTATATTGGGAGAGGTTCTGCCTAACAGAGCTTTTATGGTGCTTTTGGATGGATGAGAAACACTTCCTTTTAACTGTTCTTTTTCTTTCTCTCCAGCAATTGTAATGGTCCTGAATAGTATGAGTGTCAGCTGGAGTGCCCGCCTTCAGATTTTCCTAACCTTTTGCAAGCTTGTAGCAATTTTGATAATTATAGTCCCTGGAGTTATGCAGCTAATTAGAGGTATGAACTGAAAAGTAAATGCTATTTTATGTGCTTTCATCTCCCTCCTTCCCATCCTTGCCCCTACCAAAGAGTGCTTATGCCAGCAAAAATCTTTTAATTAGCCTCTGCTTGTTCAATTTAAGTTCCATACTGTCATGTAAATAACTGGAAGTAAAACTTGCATTACAGCATCTGGCTATGAGATCATATTGAGGCTCCTTCTATAATTTTTATATGGAGGACCAAAAGATTGTTTCTTGCAGCAAAATCAAAAACAAGCAAGCAGGGTCCCAAATATCCTTGTAATGATGGAAGACTCAAGCATCTATACTGTATGGTTTATATAGAAGAGTATAGTATATATGTAATACAACTTTATAGTCTTTCTCTTTATTGGATGCATTCCTCTATAAAGCAGCACTCCCACTAATCAGCATTCACTCTTAAAATGTTTCTTAAGTAGAGTCTTTAAAGTTCTTTAAGTGGATTAGCGAGTTCCATTCTTTTTGACTGTCTTTGGCTATAATAACATACTTGTACCAACTTTAACATGGTAGGTTTCTTATTGGGCTTTACTCCCAGGTTTTGCATCAATGCTAGTGCCTTGGTAAACAGATGCTAGTCATAATGTAAAATCTCTATTGGTGTGGATTAATATCACTTACTTTACTATAAAAAAAATAACATTTTTATTAGCCATTATTCTAACACTGTTTTTTCATTGTTAAAACATTTTATTTCACCATGATCTAATTCAGCTATGTAGTAACCAAGATTTTGGCTCTTCCCTTCCTTTTTCCCCTTCCTTTCTGTACGTGTAAAGAACTGCACAGTCTTAAGTCTTCTTAAAACTTAATCTTAAGGGATTAAGTCACAGTTCCTGTTAGATTCCAACATACAAACTGTGATTTGCCCAAGCCACAGCTGATAAATGAAGCAGGATCTGAAATCACATGCTGACTAACTGTTCAAACCATCTTTTCTCATACTCAGATGTAGTGGAAAGCTAACTGTGAAAAAAATATTTAAATTTACTTGCCCTGGATTAAAAAAAGACAGACAAGCAAGGAAATGAGTGCCAAAATATCATAGCATGGCGAACACAGTACAGTCATCTGAAAAAGAAAGTACACCCTCTTTGAGTTCTATGGTTTTATGTATCAGGACATAATAAAAA